ACCGTGGATGCTTAAAAGAAGGCAGCTGTATTTTCTCTAGGTTTGGTCACTTCAGTCGAGTAATGTCCGCGCAAATATGCACGCACACCATGTGTCCTTAGATCTGTGAGAAGTTTACCGTTCATGCCTATAAATTCATTGAAATGGCAACATCTGAAATGCGAAAGTTGTACTTTCGAATTTGTAAAACATAACTCCGTGTAACTCAGTTTCCAGTGCACTCATTTTGGTAACATGAAACGGGAAATCCAGGTTTGGTTCACCTTCTTGGAGATTTCGTGTTCTGGAAATCGCATCATGAATTAAATGTAGGTTTATTTTCTAGTTTCTCAGGAATGACAGAAGCCATATAAGAAGTTCCTTAAGAAATCGCACTGGTATGCTCCCATTCTAACGGGGACGAAGAAATGCCCAGGCTGATGCGATGATTTTGCAGTCATTACAGTGCTTCCGATGAACTACTGCAATCCTATACAGGAATGTTAATGTCAGTTTGACTCAAAAACGGAATTACTTGCTTCTAAATAAACGCTTCTACCACATGTTTGGCCACTTTCTCATAACGTGTGATGGCTGGCCTGTCTGCAAGGGCGGACGGACGAAATCAGTGTAGAGCGTCACGCGCAAGCGCACCGAGTCAAGTTGCTCCACTTTGAAGTGGTACACGAAGAACAATCAGATGGGTAAGGCTGGTGTCAAATCAGAGGTGCGTGATAACAGTAGCCTTGCCATCAGCTTCCGGTTACTATTGCTGCAAAGACCACAGCCAGATAGTTCAGATCTCCCTATGTGGCTTAGATTAATTATCATAAACTTCATGCACTGGTACCGCACTTTGGTTTTGCCACCCTGGGTCTTGTTTCAACTCCATCCAACTTCTTCTGGAATTGCGGGTTAAGTAAAGCGATGGCTCCGGTATGCCAGTAATGCTACGAAGACTTCTGTGACCACTGAACCGTAACCCATTCGTAATTTTTAACGTGTGACATTTTATTAGCAACCACTCACCTTGAGCTGATAAAACTCCTCATTGGCTGCGAACAGCTGCTGCACTTAATTGTTACAATTACCCAGGCAAGCACATAATTCCGAAAACGGGATTAATTGATGGCCAGCTGAAGAGAATCTGAAGAAGGACACTGCAGCATTCAAACGGGGTTATTGAGCATGCAAGGTTGTCTGGAACTTCACTGGCTTTTCAAAAATTCCAGAGCACCTCTCGTAACGTTGACCGCTTCCGCATCACCAACTTCTCTCAATCTCCGCTCCTCCGCTTACATCTGCCGGTGAACTTGTGTTGCCTCTCTAATCGGTCTTAAAACTGACCTCTCACACTGCACCATACCATTGGATGCCGCATCTCCACAACACCACTCTTCTCAGTCATGCACCACCTTTTCCCCTACAAGGCAGGTTGTTATCTCATAAAGCACAATACTTCTGCATATTACGGAAACGTTGGTGCGATAGGGTTGTGTGTCTATGCGGAACTCCTTCCGCACTAAATACACTACGTGAACGTGTACGAGTCAAGACGTCAGCTTGGTAGACAGTTCCATTGTCCGCTATGAACGCCTCTTCGCTGCTGTAAAAGTTTACGTCAATGCTACTTAGGCAGTTGAACTCCTTTAATGCTGCCACTGGCGCGAATGGCATTTTCCGGCCGAAAGGTGTCATTAGTGGACTTAAAGCATCTTCTCAATGTCTCCGGTTACTGCCTACAAGTGCTTCCACTCTTCTACGTCGATAGTCATGGTAGGGCCACTAAAAAATTTCGTGTGTGCGCTAATGGAAAGGATAGTTTTTTCTCAAATACCGTTTCTTACCAATGCCAACTCCCAACACGATTATCCGTGTCGTAACCCAACGCAGGCGTTTCATGCAGGTATGCCAATGCCCACATTTCTTTCTTCGGTGGCCAGTTTTGTCGTAGGTGCCAGCCGATGGCGCAATCTACAGTGATGGTCAAGAGTATGCACTGATAAAGTCTGCAAGGCCATTAGAAAAATGAGTGCTCTCTCTCGACACCATTTCTTTCGATAATTCGTTTATGGTACGCTTTCACAGTGGGATTACGAGTTTAAGATTTAATGATGTGATATGAAAGTGCATCTTATCCTCCTGCTGGATGCTTTGCTGACATGAAAAGCGCAAGGAACGGTCTTGGAAGTGGTGTGCATTATCTTCTCAGCTGGTATTTCTTAATTAGCATGGTCCATTACAAACGTTTCCCTAATGGAAGTGACCCACATTATACTCTTGAACTGTCGCAGGATCAACACACATCTTCCATTCTTTCCTGCTTTGTCTTTGAGAACGAAACAGGCCGGTCATGCCCGAAGTTACCAGCCGCCAGCACCCGTGACCGAGAGTACCAGCAGGGTACATATTTATGTATATGCAGCAAATTTACTTTGCATTGTTGGTATTATAAGTAGAGTCGATACCTATAAACTCAACTTGCCGGCGGTAAGGTGACACTTGCAAATGCGAGTAAGAACAATTGCTACTCCTTTGGCCAGAATGAAGGTGGCGATATTCCTACCATTCTCCAGAGACTTTTATCCCTACAACGCATCGCAGTAATTACTACAGCTTGCCCGGAGTCACTAGGCTTCTCAGATTGGGAACATTACCACAAGTGACAGCCACTTGAAAGTTGTCTTCTACATTCTCAATTAGTTCTTCCACCTCGGTTGAGCACCGGATCAAAGGACGCACACTTGTCTTCGCTGCTCAGCCTTCTGAAATGGGAATAATCTCTCATGAATTCTTAGTCACGTTTACGATTGTGCCGTGTTAACCCCACTCAAGGCAAGCTCAGCTCCGTTTTGATCGGGACAAAAACTAGATTGACAACTTGTGGATGTACAACTACGGAAATGAATAGCTAATCATTTAACGGACAGGGTCGCAAACCCAGGACAAGGGATTCCTTTTTATATCCATTCGTACAACGGATAACGTCAAAGTAATATGGTAAATCCGGGTTAAAATGGTCTTGCGTGAACTTGATAACAGTGTAGCGCGTCCGTGTGTACTACATTAGTTCTATAAACACTAAGGTGGATGCTTTGAATCTTGAGAAGCAGGATGTGAGCAAGAAGCCTGAATACAAATGTAAATAAAAGCGCACCACATTTCCTAGGTTTTCTCGATCCGCCGTAACAATTCAGCAAACTATTTGCAGTTTTGAACTGCAGCAAACAGTGGCAGCCAGGCGTGACTTAGCATTTTGCGGCAAAAAAAAACAAATTCCAAACCGTTTTAAAGAAATATTACAGCTGCTATCAGAAAGAACGTCTCTCAGCGGGAAAAAGCTGGCAGAGAAACGGCTGTTAGGCTTGAAAGTAGAACGAAAATGCAATCACAGTATGAAAAGCCACAGGAACAAGACATATGCACGGATTGTATGCGTCGGTTTCAAGGCAGGCACACTAATGCCAAGTTTGTAACGTAAAAAGCAGACTTGATGTCTCCAAAAAGCACAGATAGCCACGAAAACAGAAAGGGTTAGAACGACAGTGGATGACAGAGCAATATGGCAGACTCATGTGCATCAATTGACCTTTCTCCAGTCTCGGACTGATCAACCACAACCGTATCCAAGGTAGAGGGCACAAAGTTAAAAATAGTCGGCCATTAAAGTGGCTTGAATAGTACATCAGAGAGTTAACAGCAGGTTCAGATTAAACATTTTCCCTGTGAGAGCGTGTAGTTTACGGAATGCTATACCTAGGGATATAGTCACAACCCTTTCAGTAGACCAGGGACACGGACAGGGCACTGTTGACCTCGCTAGCCTGCAGCAACTCCGTTACTGATTATCCGACGTTTTCCTGTTATTGATACATCAGCCGTATCCTCTAACTCTTCCCCAGTGACTTGACTCATGCTATCTACTTCTACCCCTCGTGAACCTTCTATTTGCCCTCCCTCCACTTTCTTGCTGTTCCCATTTAGGCGCCTACGTAGGCAGGAGTTACAACAGGTTCCCCATTCTACTCGACGATCCATAGCTTCCTTAGGAAAGTTATGAATATTAACCTACAAAACATTAATCTCACCGTAACCAAAAGTATCAAAGAGAGAGAGGTTTCTTAGACCACTACTAGAGTAAACTGGACAACGAGAGTCAAGCTACAAAACTAGAAGCAAAAAAATCAACAACAACCGGTTTCTAACGCTGGTGCCATCGATGTTAACAGGTTAGATACAAGACATAAGTACTATTTCCTAGGATTTGTTAACCCTGGAATGCTCCTCCAGTATGCATGATACAGGCTTCTTTATTCAAATCCTTTAAACGTCTGCTTGAAACTCATCTGAGACGTGGGTGGTACCCGCTCAGAACTGAATGAATTTTCACATTTTAACCGCCACGTTTTGTCCTCTCTCTACTTGCATGCAGGTTGAATACCACAAGAAGCAGTGATTCTAGACGCGGAAGCCAGTCAATCGAAGGCTTGCTCCGTTATATCAACAGCCATTTGAACATTTCGTGCCAAGTGTTCAACTTTATACTTCCCTGTAGACATCTCATGTTACCATCAGCTAAAAGCATTACTATCTGTGTTCCTATAACCTGTCCTATAATCTTGCTTGATCCTTCTCTTTCCTATGACTCTGTGCTCTCACATTATTTAATAAAAGTTCTCCCTATCACTCATCTTCCACGAACCTACTTAAGTTTCTTCTTCCTTTCCACTTCCCTTCACCTTACAGTCTTTTGTTTCATTTTCCTTAAACTTCCTCTCCTTTGATTTCTCTGGACATCTTTCCTGTCTTCCTTTTTTAGCCGGTCCGATCAGCTGTCTGGTGTTACGACACTTGAGGATCCCATTTGCAGCACAAGCCTTAGAAAAACCACATAATCCCTACAACACCTAACCGCCCATCGGGTTAGCTGGAGCTACAGAAGGCGAGTGGGTAGGCCTACTGCATCGGAATCCACCAAAGACCTGGAACCGTTCCGCAAGACCCAGGATAGAGTGCGAAGAAATCAGTTAGTTTACACTAGCTGGTAAAAAGATATTAAATATTGGATCCTGGATGTTGGAGCAACAGACTTTAAAGAGGTAGCTTTGACCTATGCGTTACAGTACTGAGTAAATATACATTTTCTACACGTGAATGACTGATGGATGCCATCTCAGGATATTGTATTTGATAATGGTTCAAGTCTCCATCAGTGCTTGCGCAAAACAAACGCTGATGCCTATTTGCTCGAAGAACTAGGCATGAGTGTCTATAGTCAAGATGAAAACGCCCCACTTCTTGGAGACGATAATGATAATTTTCCTCCCGATACATATTCACCAATTGTAAATGATATATACGGCGATGTTGAATTCAAAAAGATCGTGCAAATGTCCATCCAGGCTATCGAGGCAGGAATCCATCCTGAGAGGATATATCAGGGATCAAGTGGAAGTTATTTTGTGAAAAATGCAGATAATGTGAGTTTCTGAATTGAAATATGCGTCTCTCAAGATCCTAAGCCAAGGGTTTTTCTTTTGTTCTATTGTCACTACACTATAGTGTAATATGGGTTCGCTAAATACTTTGTCTTAAACACATACTTCACTTTTCTCTTCTCAAGGCACGTGAATTGTTTGGTAGCTTTAATTTGGCTAAGCGTTCCTAGTAGTTATGACTTATCGCACTTCGCTCCGGATTTATAACAGTCTAACCGTGGGTTCTACCGCTTCATATGTCTTGCCTCGAAAACGGAGATATCAACGCAGTATTCATAAGAGGATTGAATACATAATTAAAACGACTTTAATTTGTTCTTTCCAGAATGCCTAGTACCATTCTTGGTTCTTTCTAAAGCAGACATGGACTCCAGCTGACTTGGTAAACGGTTTGGGTAGGTCAGCGAGTCATAAAACCTTCAACCCTCATAGGTGAAAACAAACGGGTTCCAGCAGGTTACAAACTTAATAAGAATTAGATTTGGCTTATGTATAGACTGAATACGTCTCCATAGTATTTCAACAGTAATGGGTAGCAAAATCTAGAGATTAAGAAGGCAGCTGTGTCATGTGATGCAGTCGATTGCGAGAGCTTATGGCAGTCTGTAGTGGAGGTCTAAGGGCGAATTCGTACTGCTGGCCGGACTGGGGTGACAACAGTAAGGTGTTTTCAGGGGATTACTAACAGTTTATATTGATCGGCGGGTAAACAAAATCAACGTATAACCTCACACAGAAGTCAATTGGTTTAGGTTACCACACTTCACAAGTGTACAAAAAGCGAATGGATAGGAAAACCTGGTATCAAAGTAAACAAAGTTGTATCTAAGGAGAGGGGATTTAAAAATAAAGGTCGGGCAAAACATTCAGGCTTTATGAGATATCGAAAGGTGAATATGTCTACGTCATTGTGACTGATTTTCATCCATTTTACCAAGAGACCTCAACCACTGATTCTTGTCGTTCCGGGGACTCCAGCCAGGCAGTCTGCACCTCATCACATAGCTGAGATCGACAGTCAGGGATTTCATTTACTAGTTATCATGTTGTTACTGTCTTATCTTTAGGAAAGGGACAGTTATGAAAGGTTAACCCACAAAATAGGACACTCCTTCCTACTATGTTTTCCTCCGCTACCAACGGTGTGGGTTTGTATTTGAATTCCAAGCAAACGATTTAAACCCAAAACTTCCAAAAAAAAACCGTGTGTAACTGGTGTCAAGGAGATAACCCGTGGGCTCTACTGTCCGTGCACCACTATCACTAGTCCAACTTTTTTTCAGGAACTCCAAAAAGAAGTGATATTCCACGATCTGGTTAGTCCGGAAGTGTTAAACGCTCTCACAACTCTGTCAGGACTAAAATTCGGATGAAGTTAATGATGAGTTGCCCCGAAAATTGTTTAGCCTCCTCCTGAAATGCAAGCTTTCGAAAATGTTTGTTGTCGCAGGTGATTCAATTCCCAAGCGTGTAGGCTAGGATGAGTCTAGCAGAAAGGAACTTAGATGGCAGTTTTGGAATCCCAGCTGAATGAATAAATAATGAGGATCACGTGCTACAACTATGCTCAGTCAACTATCTATTTATAGCGACCACGAGCTTCAGATATAAGGAGAGACATCTGTCCACCAACCTGAACTCAATGGTGGACGCATATGTACCATATTCCTATGAGTGTTCGCTGAGGAGGAGCGATGTAGGATTGCCACTCCTAAAGCTCAATTTTGAACAGCGATCGCTTGGTTCAAGTGCGTGTATGTCTGCGCCTAAATGGATGTAGAAAAACTACAGAAACAAGACCATTTTGAGAGCTGCTCGACTATTAGAGTACAAAGTCTTGTTACAGTGAGAAGCTACACAGTTATCGGTACAGTATGACGACTCACCCATCAGAAATATGGTGTCATCTCCAGTCTGCTGAAAGAACATTTCAGACAGTAGTTGACTTTTAGAGAGTGGTTACAAAGAGTCAGTGAATCTCATGCGCTTCACCTGAATTGATGGACGCACTTGAACATATTCCAACAGGCTCCGAGCACAGTTAGGAGCGGAAGCAACTCAAATATGGACTGACAAGGCTACGCGATGACCAAGGTGATGGATGGTGAAGACTAAAGATGAAGACGATAGAGGTGACGGATCACAGTTGAGAGTTAGTTCGACTAATCAAGGAAACTGAGTTGAAAAACTCGATGACTGGTACGACCGAAGTCGAGAAGGATGAATTTTTGGTTCACTCACTGACTGGAACGATGAATGGCATACTTCCAAGAACAGTTCAACTGGTCTCCAGCTGCTATTCTGTTATCAAGTATCCAGTGTGATTCCGAATGGAACATTGTAATAGAGCATCCAACTCTTGTTGGAGTCGCGAAGGCTTTGAGTAACCTGGAACGACGGTCAGCAAGATCAGATGGACTAGTACTGGAAATACTTGAGAATAGTGACATAGTATTAATAATAAGATAAACTGAAGTGGTGGCTGGTGTGTGGGGATTGGATATGATCCCTTCTAACTGGTCCTAATCACTCATTGTCCTAGTCCTCAAGAAAGGAGAGAAATCCTCTAGTGATAACTCAAGAGGTATCCGTCTGACGTACGAATTATCGATGTCTTTTAGGTTTTATTATCATTGGAAGCCCAAGTGGAGTTTAAGAACGAGATACGCCTCGGACCCATTTGTCAGTCTTAACCAGATATGCACCTTCCATCAGGTTCCGAAACAAGCATGTTTGCAAACACCCTACATTAGCTGTATTACTACATGTGGCAGTCGACTCTGTTGATGGAGAGGCTTTAGGGGAGTATTTCTCACTGAAATGAGTGCCGGATAAGCGTATCGTTCTGTCACAGGTTCTGCATTTGAACACCTGTGAGTGTGTTAGAACCTTCAGGGAATTATTAGGTGAGTTGTATATGTTGAGCTTTGTTCGTCAAGGATTTTTGCTTTGTCCATTCCTACTTCATTTTTTTTACAGATGTGCTTAAGAAGGTCTCCCTCTCCTCATCTGACAGCTGGATTAACCTTGTCACAAAATTCTAAAGTAGACGTGGAGTCTGCAAATGACATAGTCCTGTTAGGTGAAGACACCCACAAGATAAGAATCTTCTAGGCACCTTGAGTGCGAATTCGAAAATATTTGGAATTCTTCCCTCACCACCCAAATGCAAATTGTAACTCAAGGACAGGTCTTCGCTGGTGGATCGTTTACCAGTGTGTAGTAAAGCTGTCGAGCTTATTGACGATTTCCACTCAGAAAGTTGGGTCAGTCCTGGAGGGTCAATGATCAACTAAATTTCTGCAACAACAAAATGTTCGTCCGGCCTTCACCAACTTACACCATTTATAGCGCCTCCATGCTAGGCGATCGTCTAATGAGGGTCACGTTTACTGCGTTGGAGTTCGCCCAATTTTACCATGTGACCATGAGACATTGTCATTAGATTCTGAGCACATGAGAAGGCTTCAGGTGTTCAGCCTCCATCGCCTTAGTCATGTTTTATGATGCTACTATGTCAATAATGTAAAGGTCAGGCATAGAGTTTTTGGCAGTAGAAGAAAGTCGCTCGATTAGGTTGTGGACCATCATCAAATCAGTTGGCTGGGATGTGTTACTGATACCTAGTCACCGTCTGTACCGTCGCCTGAAATAGGTTCAGGCTGGAGAAAGGTTAGAGGTGACGAGACTAAAAGATGGCATCAGTTCACGAAGTTATTGACTGTTAGTGTGATGTGTGTATTAGAATATAGACTTCTTGGTTGGGGTCAGCGTGACAAGAGAAACCAGTGGTTGGAGACTGGTTGATATTACTCAGAATCGATCGAAATGGCAGAAATGTATCCACACAATATCTTCATGTTAATCCTCACGAAGAATTTTATCATTGTTTTACTCTCCCTTGTTCTGTTTTCGCAATTCCCTAACGCTTGGTTGCTTTCTTCTCTATTTCTTTATCTTTCGTCATGGTGCATTTTCGTTTGATGTGTTGGTATGAGGCGTGACAATTTAAACCGCTACACGTTAATGTCAGGTCCTGTGTTCATATTGTGTTTTTCTGTCGTCTGGAGGACCCCAGCCAGGTAGTTTACGCCTTGGACAAACAATCAAATAATTTATTTACAGCTACTCATCTTAGTTTAATCATCCTTAACTTTCTAACCCAATCCTACTTCAGCTAACATCGCACACCGAGGTAGTTGATCGCTTGGCAAACGCGATAAATGTCCAACCCATCTCGCTGAAAATGTACCTCATTGCTTAAAGCATCTGGTTGTCAACCAAAGCGTCGTGCGTTCAAAACCCACTTCGCCTTTTACCTAGGGAATGGGTTAACATCATAAGCCCTAAGACAATTAGTTTGGTGCAAAGCCTAGTGCATTAACAAATGTATTGGGTTGAGTTACACTTTCACCTCAGTCGATGAGAGGTTCTTAACTTCATCAAGTGACTTGTTTTTCTTATCTGGTATTTTGAGCCTGACCTCGACAGTGTTTATACGATGATTCCACGACACATAGGCAGTTCTTCAAAGACCTATAGCTTATTATCTTTTACTTTTAACTGTCTCGTAAACATGCTACAGGACAGAGCGGACTACTGTGGAGTATATTCTTCCTTTTATGTATAGTTGGATATATCGCCTGCACTATGAGTGGCGTAAGTTAAATCTGAACTGAGATTTTGTTATCAACTAATTCACTGTAACTGATGTAACCTCCCAAGTGAAGCTATCAAACTCTTCCACCAATTCACTCCTAATCTTTAAACTAAAATTCAGTGTATACTGGTCCTCAAATATCATCTCACTGAGGACTTTCTGTGAAAAATTGACCAACATGTCAAGCGGCGTATTTCAAAATACCTCGGTTTCTCAATGTTTCTGATATTTCCAAAGATAGCATGCTTAAAGCAGGCCTATGGGGAGTGTGTGGTTGTAATGGCAGAGATTTGACTTTGGTGAACTTTTTTACCTTGAGTTTTAGGACGATATTGTCTTTTAATGCAACCACGCAGTCAATTCCATCCACAAGTAATCACTTGATGACAATTGCCCTTGAGTATGGATATGCTTTACACCAGTAAGGTGAGAAGCATTTTCACTAGGTTGATAAGAGCAGATACGTTCATTCATCCTCGAAAGTTCACGCTTATGAGCAGTTGTATGAATACTGAAGAAGGTATGACAAATTCGACTTCCAAATACTTATCGAAAACTGAAGCGATATGCGTCAATCTAAATCGTCTTATGACATAGGTGCAACTTTGGCCTAGTTGTAAAAAGCTGGTTGTACAATAAGTTCTACTCTACAACTGGTATCCCTTACCTCTTAGAACGTAAGATGTACAATTCTCTGTGTTAAATCATTTTTACTTTGGGAAGATTTCTCATATTCGATGAAAACACCATGTAAGTATTGTGTGGAGATTCCTCTTCGGAGATCAATTATTGAGTACTTTTATATTGAATTATCGGCTATGATGGCTTTGATTTATTACCAGCTGTTTCCCAGCAGCTCTCGTACCGTTCATTGTTTATCACCACTTGTACTAGTTTGAAGCGGGGTTTCGCGGTTGTTGGCAGCTTCATTACTAACATAACTTTAATGTAAGTAGGTGATTCCTCTACGTTCAAACCATACTTCATTTACTTTAGTTTTAGTAGTCAGGTAGCACATGCTCTCACACATTAAGTGTATCTCACAGTTTAGCATGTGAACATCTCTCTCGGGTTATGGTGTTAACCGCTTAACTGGCCGTAATTGCGTTTCAAAATTTGTTTAGTTGGCTTTTAGTGTGTTGTTTTCACTTGTCATATTTGAAATGATAATAGACAAATTGTATGCTCTCTGAACATCTGAGAACTCTACAGTAAGAGATATTTAATTTAGATCTAAACTTCTGTTTCCTATCGACTGCTTGTTTGCATCACGTAGATATATACGCTCTGACTTACCAGCATTCACGCAATCTTAGGATTCAGTAGCTTGCAAATTTGGATAAAGTGGTTTAAAATTAACTACCGAAATAGATGAATTCAATCTTTATCACCCTTTCAGTTTGCTTTACCAATTGATTCTTTCATAAAGTACTCTTAAGTTATAGAAGGAGTAATGAAGTGTTGATATAATTTAGATTTTCGATAAGGTAACACAAAACAGAAATATTAGGAAAAATTTTGAAGAATTTATTACATGCAGGATTATAGAGGAAATATATTTCTTCATTTGTTGTAAACTTTGTCATTTATTATTTGATTTTTGATTAGGACAATTATTCTTTACATTGCCTATAGGTTATTTTGTATCGATAAATTAAATTAAGCCCAATCAATCCCCACAAACCAGCAATGAAATAATTTCTAACAATACAAATTGGTCGATAGGATTTGTGGCTTGAAAAGCTCAGTAGTAACGTTGCTGATTACAACACTGGGTGACGCGGGTTCGAATCTCAGGGGGGGGGACATCAGTCCCATCGAGGTTACATGTACACCTTGCTGAAGAGTGTCAACAGGCGCTAAGCTTAGTTCCAGGGCTTCCTACTGACTGTCTCCAACCAACTAACATCTATCAAACTGGACTGTGATGATGAGCCTCCTAGCTTGGTAGTCACATTGCAAAATGATCGATAAAACTCGGTCAGTACTCAGGACTAGACAATATAAAATTGGTTCTCAGGTCACCAATCAATGATTTCTAACCTAGTTTGTTGGAAATCCAATCTTATATTGTAGGCTACATTTTGTGTAATTCCATGTGAGTTTTACATTTTAATCATGTTATTAAGGGTACATACCTCATGTTAGTGGTGTTGTTTTTTCTCTCAGAAGAAAATTGCCGTATTCAAACCTAAAGATGAAGAACCTTATGGCAAACTTAATCCAAAATGGACTAAATGGATGCATAAACACTGTTGCCCATGTTGTTTTGGTCGTTCATGTTTAGTTCCAAATCAAGGCTATCTTTCCGAGGCTGGTGCTAGCCTTGTCGACCAAAAACTACGACTCAATATTGTTCCTACAACAAGAGTAAGTTATTATTCTCAAGCTTATTTTTGATTATGATATTAATGCAGTAGTGTTTTACAGCTGTCACATGAAACCGTTGTCTATGTTTTACTTTCGGTGGAAATTCCAATATCTAGTACACACTGATCACAGTCACATGGTTAGGGTGAATAAACACTTATTGAGAAATACACGATATGACAGGAATGTTAGGTAAAATAAAGCAAGTAAGTGTTACGTATAAGAACTGGTGTAAAACCAACTATGTTCCCATTAAAACGTTAATTGTCACTTCTGATTTACGCACAGCTGAGCATCTCATCTTAGTAGTTTATATTGTTTAATAACTTTGTTCCATCGGTAACACGATACTATGAATAGTAGTTTACGCATGTAATGTAATGTCATGGTTATCTTTCACTTTTGAAAGTAGAAAGTAAATTTAACTAATGGCTTTTAGCTTAAAGTCTATTGTTGTACACCAGTAGAACCCTTACACCATGTACTTTTCGAATTATTATTATCCATTGACAGATATTGACCATACACACTACCTAGCCCTTCGTCACTTTAATCAAGAATTTCTTACTTCCATCCTTGAAAACTGTCAGGTCTTTATGATTTGCATCGTTTCAAGTTCGATACAGCTTTCTCAACTTCAAAAAGAGTTGGAGGACCAACTTCCAAGTCCCATTCAAATGTAGGCTAGATAGTCAGCAGCTAAACTACAGGTATATTATTATCATCGATATTGCTTATTTTCTACAGTATTGCACTTAATGTATAATATTCAACTTTATTTCTATATCTTTTAGGTTGTTCGTTTAGTAAGCGATAGCTTTAACTATAGTGCAGTCGATCGTGCAAAATCTAAAACTAAACAACATGTCGCTTCTCGATTCCCTGAGATAGGTCGTCATTTCAATCGCCTTGGACTTCCGCCTAAAGTAGGTTTTGTTTTGATAAATTAGTGATAAATTGTGAATAATCGATAGAAATGTAAAAAAAAGTACACCCTTATATTCATCAATAAGAAAAACACGATTCTGCTATTTACCAGCACGTAGACTACAAGACACCACTTACATGGTGAGATATGAATGTTGTTTTACGCCTTTATAATAAATTTTGAATCATTTCACATAAGGTATTCCAACTGGTTTTTAGCATTTTCCAAATGTTGAAAAGAAAATATCTACTTCTCAGGCTAATGATCACTGACTTCATAAATAAGTAGTATATTCAAGTATTGTGTTTTGAACCTATTCGGTTTATTTTCCATCTAACTTTGACTTCAGTTAGGAATATAGATCACTATAGTTGGTAGCTGAATTTGTGGACCTCACCCATGATTGTATTGCTCAATATCCGGAAGCATTGTTTAACATCTTGATTGTTTTCCGTTTTCATTTGTTATTCATATTGTCCTGTATCACAGGCATTTTCATCTAACAGTACTATATATTTCGCTTAGTCTGAATCAACCAAGTTTTTCTGAGAAGGTCGATTTATGATATCTGATACTGAACAGAAGTGGTCATAGTGAACGTGCTTAACGAACATAACTCTCTTTGACGTCATATTAGGCGATTACTACTACTTCTTGATCAATGAATTAATGTGTGACTGAATTCATCACATCACTTATCTTTTAGCAACTTCTATATATTTATCGAATCTGCATCTGAGTAATAGGCGGCGGAAAATACTATCATTAAGCCAAGGAATATGACCATTCCTGTGTACTTTAGTGTATTTATTTATTCCAGGCTCGGAAGAAGTTTAAGCAATGTATTCCATATACATTCAACCAGGCCTAAATAATACTCCACTCTTCCGCAGTTTCTGTTTCATAGTTCCTATACCATTATATTCGGTATTCTTGTATAGTTCCCTGCATAACAAAACAATCATTATTTGATAATAACCTGATGAAATTGTGTCTTATTTGCATAACTCAGCTACAGCTTAAAGTATTCAAACCGAGATGAAGCTCGATTGTTTTTGGAAATTCTAAACACTGAGTTTATTTACATGACAAATTGAATTATTATATATATCAGAAAAAAAAAATGTTTTTCAGTATTTCTATGTATTTTCATCTTTCTAAAGTTATTTGTATAAATTAATTCGATATTAAATGAAACTTTTATACGAATATATTTAAATCGATACAATAAAGCGTGATAAATAGTCATTCAGTTAAATTTCCAATATATATATTCAGAAGAATAAAGATCATTATCATTTCTACATATAGTTTCTGAAAGGACATATTACCCCCCCCCCCCAGATATATTGATGAGAGTAAGAAGGGAAAGATTTAGATGAATCTGAAATTTTCCAATATTAAAATATTTAATCTAATTAATGAAAATGAGGTAGGAGGGATGTGAATGTGATAATTTTTCTACAAATAGAACCAAAGTTGGTTAACCAATACCAGACCATAGTGTTGTTATTACCATTGACAACACTTTTTCTCAAAATGGTATTATGTATATAATAAATCATTATTTCTTAAAGAAGCATTCAAAATCATTTGAAAAATTCATTCTGTCTAAATGAATAGAAAGTTGTATTATCCCATGGAGATATAACTCATTGGTTTAACCAATGGGTCACCGGTTCAAATCCCTTTTCCATCTATCTAGGTTTTAGTAGCCCGGTAGCCCTTATACATTAGGTCTGATTCATTGTTTATTGCACGAATATGCTCTTAAGGTTGGTGACTGCATTTCAGTCTAACTTTTTATATCACATTGGGACTTACTAAAGTTTGTAAACCTTGATGCTCGGTCGGATACTTCCAACTTTATATCATTATAATAAACAAATGAAGTTATCTTTTGTGTAATACTCCACAAAATAAAGTTCAACAAAATAATTATCTCTAATAATGTCTTGTTGTAAGACAAGGCTGCCTACTATCACCCATGAACTTCCTGATTGTGGTTGACTGGACCATGCAGCAAACCGTGAGGTGCGAGAAGATGGGGATACGCTAGACCGATGAAAAAATCCTAGAAAATTTGGATTTCGCCGATGATTTATGTCTAATACTTTGTGCACAAACTCGAAGATCTACAGGCGGAAACTAACAAGCTGACAGAAGAGGCAGCGAAAACAGGACTTCGAGTGAATGTAGAGAAGACGGATGTGATGAAGATACCCAACCAACAACAGCATCAACAACAAGCACCAATCACCATTAATGGGAGAAACCTAAAGGAGGTAGTCTCTTTCACCTGCCTGTCTACTTAGACAGCATCGTTTCAACTACAGGCGGCGCCACAGACGAGGATGTCGAAACCAGGATCGGAAAGACAGCAAGATAGGCTTTCATTAATCTGAAATAATCAGTGTGGAGGGAGATCTACTGCATTCAGCTCAAAGAACAAGATTCGGATTTTCAACACTATTGTCAGTCAGGTCAGTGCTTGTATTTGATGGTTGGGAGACTTAGCGTGTCACGAAAACACTTCCAACAAACTACAGACACTCATCAACAGCTGCCACCTACGCTCACTTGATGCTGAAGATCAGATGAATGGCCAGAAATAATAAGCAACAAGGACCTCTGGGAACGAACCAACTAAGAACCTATCACCCAACAAATATGCATTGGAAGGAAGTGGAGGTTGATTGGGCATACACTGCGAAGACCATTCAGAGACATTACGCACCAGGCCAGGCGCACGAGTGCAATCCAAATGGGAAACGATGAGTTGGGCGTCCGAGACGAGGGTGACATGGAAGAGATGATGTGAGGAAGAAATGAAAGGTGTGGGCAGTCGTAGAGCCAGGTTGAAAAGACTAGAGAAAACAGAGTGCAATGGAGGCGTGTTAATGAAGCCCTATGTTTCACTAGGAACCCAAGGAAAAAATAACTAATAATAATCTCTTGTTGGATTGTAGAATTACGCATAGAACTGTTCAACAAACATATATGAAGATGCTGCATTCAACAGGTTCAACGTTACATTTAAATTACCTAAAATGTAATTTTATTCATTCATGATATTAGTTCTTAATATCTCCTTTAAGTAAAATTGGTGTAAAACATCTATAAATACATCCATTCTACAATTATAGACAGAGGCAAACAAAATCAACGTAGAACCTTGCATAAAAGTACCTTGGCTCAGGTTGCCACACTTCAAAGTGGTATACAAAGAATAGGTGAATAGAAAAAGGAATGATATCAAAGTAGAATAAATAATTTGAAGATAAGGGTTAGTTGAAATATGCAGGCTTTAAAAGACGTCATAGAGGGAATACATCTCCACTGTAACCTATTTTCAGCTATATCATCAAGGGTTTCAGATTACTGAACCCCTATCGTCTCGGGGACCTTGACCAGTTAGTCTAAATCTTTTCACATGACTCAGGTCAACACTGAATGACTTGATGTGAACTGTTATCACGTCTTGGTCTGGCCACTCTGAACCCTTTTCTAAACTATTCCAACAACCTTTTAGCATGGGATGTCGAGGTAGATGATGATTCTTCATGTTCAGTAAATATCCAAGCCATCTCAATCGACTAAGGCTCACAACCTCATCAGTCGACATACCTGTCTTACTTAGTATGTACAATTATACTTTCTAATTACATTAGTGAGATTATTCAGACTTTGTTGTTGTTGTTTGTAGTTGATAGAAAATGTTTCATCTTTTGCTAGATTGGATCTTTTCAACTTTTTGTTTCCGGTTGTCGAGATGCCGACTATTGGCTTCGTCATTTTGATAATGAAGCACTTCCTAAACCTACTGCTATGGAATTCCAATTTCAGTTTGAAAAACTTGTCGTTCTTGATTACCTTATTCGCAATACAGGTATGTAACAGTCAAATCTTTCTAAAATTTTATTTTAATTGTTTGCTATGAACTAGTTATGAAGTAACAATATTGGTAAGAAATAAGTTTGAAAAGTTTTAGTCATCTACGTTATATTGAAGAATAATAGCTGATATTCGCCATGAACTGACATCATCAGTTGGAGGAACATTTGAAACCTGGATGCATTGGACGTCTGTTTCATCCCACTATTATGGGACTCCTCAGGGATCGAACCTAGGAGCTTCGGGTTCCGTATCCAGCATGTAACCATTGGACCACTGGGTTGGAATCCAATGGTCTATATTTTCAACTTCTGTCAGTTCACGACATAGTGCGACCATCACCCAGTATCATAGTTGAAGGTCCTGGGTTCGATCCCTGGCGGGATCATAGGTGAGCACTACTGGGGAGTCTCATAATAGTGGGGTGAAACAGCTATTCAGTCCTCCCAGGTTTTGAACGTTCCTCCAACTGATGTCAGTCCATGATGAATACCAACTTAAAAACAATAAAAACCCCATAAACCACCAATTAAAAAGATTAGTGGTGGTTAACAGTAGAATCTGTCCAAAACTTGTCATCTGGGTGCACCTGGCTTTTAGTCAATGTTTTTTCCCCTTCAAGGACTAGAGCCTGGGAACTGTTACTCCAAGTATCATAACATGATCTACCAGGCTACGAAGTCATGGGAGCTACCTGTTCTGCAACAGGTATAGGTTAGTGTTGTGACTTGTTGTTTCACTTTGTTGATTGGTTCAAATCGACTGGATTTCATCGTGGAATAAGAAGTCATAATATCTATTCGTCATGAGTTTGTAGTATTCTAATTATTTTCTTTAGTGAGCCTTATAATAGATGGCTGAGAACTAACGAGACATGTCCTGGGAACAAAAATTACGTTGAATTTGGGGGTTTGTGGGGATTTAGAGATTTTTCAAGTTGGCATTCTCATTAACTGACATCAGTTGGAGGAACATTGGAAACCTGAGAGCAATGGATAACTGTTTCGTCCTACTGTGGGACTCCTTAGCAGTGTGCACCCATGGACGCACTAGAAGGCGAACCCGCCGCTCTCAGGTCCCGTGACCAGCACGTAACTATTGAACCACTGAGTCGGAATTAGTACTCATTGGTGACTAGCTTCAAGAGGTTATTCCTGAAGCTCCAGTGAGAAGTCATGACCAGTGGGGCAAACCTGGTGACCGTGAGGACAAATACTCAACGATTACATTAGGCGATGGTCGCGCTATGTCGTGAACTGACTGAGGTTGAAAATATGGACCACTGGATTACGACCCAGTCACTCAGTGGTAACGTGCTGGCCACGGAACCTGGGGGTCCTGGGTTCGACCCCTGGAGGGATCGTGGGCGCGCACTGCTGAAGAGTCCCACACTAGGATGAAGTAGTTGTCGAGTGCTTCTGGGTTCCCAATGCTCCTCCAACTGATGTCAGTTCATGCTGTGAATACCAGCTTGAATAGCTACGTTGTTTTTAATTAGATGTTTCGAACTAGTAGCTCCAGATGATGGATTATTGTGTACGCCTACGAGGATGGGGATTGACGTCTTGGAGACAAATTCTTTTTTATGTTCATTTGACAAGCTTTGTGCTTCTATTGATCTTTTGATTGTTTCATTGAGGAGCATAACCACTTTGACCCGTGCATTACGACTCCGGGTTTTATTTTATTCTGTTCATCATCCTATTGTTTTGATTTGTTAAAATTGTATAGTTCTTGAAATACCTTTTAGCTACTTTGATGGTTATGATTATTATTAATATAAGCAATAACCAATCTGTATTTTCGATAGATTCAATATATTTATAGTAATTTATTACTAACTAACTTGTCTAGATCGTGGAAATGATAATTGGCTTATTCGTTATCAAAGCTCAGAATTGAAAGAAGAACCAGATGAGGTGAGTTAGTTGTGGTTGTGAAACAATCTTTTTCTCAAATGGTTGTCATGCAAGTAAGTATTATGATGACTTTTCTAATAATCATTCGAAAGATATCTCTTTATTAAAATGGATCATTTATTACATCAAGATAAATGCTGGAAATTGCAAAGCTTAAACTTATGAGTCGAATCCCTGTCGAGGTCATGGGTGTGTACTGCTGAAGAGTTGCACACTAGGACGATACATGCACCCACCGCTTCCAGATTTTCAATGGTTCTCCAACTAATGTCAGTTCGTAGTGAATACTAACTTGTGGCATGTTTTTCTGCTGCATCTCCACCTATTACATGAGGAATATGAGCAATAAATCCTTCTCGAAACATCATCCAATAAAGTATGCTGTATATCACTGTGTGCTATATCAAATAACGAATCTAATATGCAATTATACTGTACCATAGTGCCCAAGTTTTCACTTTGCAATAAAAAGATATTTTCTCCTTAACCGCTTACCTTCCTTAGCTTTCTAGTGTAGTATGCTGTTCTTAGTGGTTCATTAAACTGATATATCGTATTTGTCCACTGAAATAGACTTGTGGTCAGACATTTCTAATTACCATATACCTCCTTACACTTCATTTTATGCTTTGTTTTCATGTAGTCGACTGCATATGTAAATTATGCAATTATTGGGCTATTCGTTGATTTACTTTATCGTCAGTGTAATTGTATACTTTGAATATTGTGTAACAGCTGCAATTTTAGTTATGAATAATCTATTAGTTAGGTGATTGGTGCTTGGCTTTTGACCCCACAGTGTTCAAGTTTCAATGTAATCTCCACCTACTTTTACCTTGACAACTTGATAATATCATTAGCACCCTGTACAATAAGTTTCACTTATGGCTTAGTATGTAACCGTATGTCAAATTGAGTTACATTATTATTAACAGTTACATTTAAGCGGTTTTCAAAGTTCATCATAAATCAGCAATGAGAACATGAATTACTGATTCGATTCACCTACTCCTTGGATTAAATTCTGTTGTAGTCCTTTTAAGCGAAATATCATTATTTTCCAGAATTCTCTTGTCGATTCACTACTGATTGTATTTCAAATTTGGAAATTTTAAACTGAAATACAAATAAATCCCGAAGGAAAATGATGTCTTTATTGTGTCTACTTTTGCCTGGAATAAAATCTTCAGGGATTGTTACTTTATTTTCTACTGGAACCAAATGCATTGAAAAAAACTGTAAAAAGTGAAAGAGATACATTTGTAATATCACAAGGAGATAGAAAAATCAATTCCTGACACTTCACGACCTCCTGGAACTTGCTTCCTCAGAGAATAAAACCTATACACTTTGTCACATGTGTGAACAGTGAGTGCAAAAATAAGATCAGATCGCGTTCTTCATACGTAATAATAATAGCAATAATAATAGCAATAATAATAATAATAATAATAATAATAATAATAATATGGGAATAAATGTCATCATGATCAGTTATTATGAGTTCAAGGTGAAGATGTGAATGTGAGTGTAACACATGTGAATAGGTGTAGTGTGGGAAAGAAAATAGTATACAGGAGAAATTCAGTTTGTTTGCGCCGTATATGTTTGTACTTTACTTTAGTTATGATGATGAGTGTGTACAACTTGGTATTTCGGATATTCTATCCAAGTGGCTTGGATAGTTAAGTCTTCCTTTCTTCTTCTGTTGAGTGCATTAGGATTCAATATAATGTTGAATATGCCTCAACTATCCGTCTTTCCTTGTAGTTTGAAAATTACTATTTGGAGTAATTTTGATATTTTATGTCAAATCTGTGACTATGATAGATGGCGTGAACAGTAATTGCGGATTTGTTTTGTAGACTCTTTAGTGCTACAGGATTATTTGAAGATCGTTTCGTGTAACTTGCCTGTTATTTAGCACAAATGAGGATCTCGTGGGATGATTTTTTGATATGATAAGCATCACAATCGAAACACTCTAGTTTCCAGACACAATTCTGAGTGGAGGTGAAAAGAAATGTATCTCTTAACTGCATCTAAAGGATTCTTGAGAGTGTTGGTTGTCTTGTAGAGGGTTCTGATTCGGCGTTTTCTAAAACTTGTCTGTTGTACTTCGTTTTTACCTTGGTGGAATGATTGAACTACTGTACTAATCTATGGTGTATGGCAATTAACGCTATATTAGCATCTATGTGATGCCTTGGGTCAACCAGGTTAACTAGGACAGAACGTCTAACCACTTTAACGTCATCTTTTCCAAACTAAGTTGGCAAAGATTCACGCATCTGGAGACGCAACTGATTAATGGTGAGCTCTGTGTAACTACCATACAAACAGATAAATTGATAGTTCAATAGTTCCACTAATCCACTAAGGTAAAAGTGAAGTACAACAGACAAGTTTTAGAAAACGCCGAATCAGAACCCTCTACAAGACAACCAACACTCTCAAGAATCCTTTAGATGCAGTTAAGAGATACATTTCTTTTCACCTCCACTCAGAATTGTGTCTGGAAACTAGAGTGTTTCGATTGTGATGCTTATCATATCAAAAAATCATCCCACGAGATCCTCATTTGTGCTAAATAACAGGCAAGTTACACGAAACGATCTTCAAATAATCCTGTAGCACTAAAGAGTCTACAAAACAAATCCGCAATTACTGTTCACGCCATCTATCATAGTCACAGATTTGACATAAAATATCAAAATTACTCCAAATAGTAATTTTCAAACTACAAGGAAAGACGGATAGTTGAGGCATATTCAACATTATATTGAATCCTAATGCACTCAACAGAAGAAGAAAGGAAGACTTAACTATCCAAGCCACTTGGATAGAATATCCGAAATACCAAGTTGTACACACTCATCATCATAACTGAAGTAAAGTACAAACATATACGGCGCAAACAAACTGAATTTCTCCTGTATACTATTTTCTTTCTCACACTACACCTATTCACATGTGTACACTCACATTCACATCTTCACCTTGAACTCATAATAACTGATCATGATGACATTTATTCCCATATTATTATTATTATTATTATTATTATTATTGTTATTATTATTATTATTATTATTATTATTATTATTACGTATGAAGAACGCGATCTGATCTTATTTTTGCACTCACTGTTCACACATGTGACAAAGTGTATAGGTTTTATTCTCTGAGGAAGCAAGTTCCAGGAGGTCGTGAAGTGTCAGGAATTGATTTTTCTATCTCGTGATGTTACAAATATATTTCATTCATAGTTTATTAACCGAGTAATGAATTTATTCAACTCTACCAGGTTGAATTTCGATCCTGAAGTCTATTAGGAATTAACTTTGTCTGTCGTTTTGAATATGCGTGTCCTCATGAGTTCATAAAGTCAGGCTAGCGGATTGTACATTTCTACGTCTTAACTTGTTAAAATTACACGCAACACACTATGAATGATCCTTGCACATAATTGTAACCTTTAGCACTGTATGTATCACACAATGGTTTATTTCTGCAATTTAACTGCAATACGACTATCATACCGATAATAAAACTGTATTGAACTATAATAGGTCCTTATATAGAGCGTTTAAAACTTCTTTATTTTTGTAGTTTTAATATTTATTAGGCGGTAAATTTTACATGAAGTTTACTTCACTGTTAACTATTTTTTTGTTATCGAGTATGCTAAAGATATAACTTTTACTCATTCTATTGAGTCTGTTAGTTGCGACATGGGAATACTGCGTAACGACTTAAGTTGTTATGCGTGACATGAAGGTATAAGGCAGTAAGGTGGTAGATGAGAAACTAGTGGAGAAGAGACGTTATCAAATTCTCAGAAAATTGGAAGCCGGAAGGAAAAGGGCGTAAAATAAATGATGAAATGCAATATGACAATTAGGGTGCAAATAACTTGTGGATGCATCTATACCACTGAGATTGATTCTAAAGTATATCACCTAGTGTCTAACAAGCAGTCTTAAATGTCTCGTAGACCTCAACCTGAAAGCCTAAATCCTCTGCACACCTCATCAACTGTAGCATACTTCATGGGCTGATGTCATGTTTTTACCTAAGATTCTACTCTTAACCTCTACGTTACTGAACTCATGGTTCCAATACACACAACCAGTGCCAAAAAGGTAACCTTGGTCGAACATCTGAGGTCTACACGTGTCTTCCGCCTTTAATAACATGGCTTCGAAGTCATAAAACAGGGCGGAGAAAACGGTTGCGCATACTATGTATAATTTCCTTATCTCGTAAAGCTTTACTTGCCGGAGGTTATCTTTTAGAGTTCGAAATAGTCGTGATTAAAACAACACGGTAAATAAACTTCTTAGGGGTTTTCAAACGGATCGAAACTCGAACTTCAAGCACTGGGTCGCAGGTCCTAACTCTGCTTGACCTGCTTTGACTTGACCATTCAGCCAGTATCCTATACTGTCACTCAATAAGCATGACTGTTACCTCAGTATAAAAACATATATCAGGTTGATTTGTATCAATCAATTTATTTTACACTGAGGTGGTATTTATCATGGTTTAGTTAATCCTGTCTTAAGTTACCACAACAACGCTTTTATCATCAATATACATACTTTTTATGCTTATAGTGAATAAGTGAAAGCAAACCTGAACTATGAGGGATATCTGCTTACTAAAAATGACCTTTCTGTACTGTAATTATTGATTTATCAAGCAAAATAATGATATTTGAGTTGTTTATACTAGGTTGTTTAAGATTACAGCTCTAATGATTGTCACCTTTTTGAAGTGATTATAAGAAAACGATCACCATAGGGTACTTTTTTATCTGGATTCTTTTAGAAGGATATTGTATGTTTTGTATTCTTGTAGTGTACTGATCAACGTTAAACTCTCCCCTGGATGACCTCATCTATGAATCTAGATATTGATTTCCCATTAGAATAAAAATAAAGTTATGTTAAATAGGTTAATTGTTTGGTTGGTTCAATAAACTGGCTTACTTCTTCATCTCCTCGATAACTAGTAGAAGATTAAATGAATTTGGAACCCGAAGTTTTGTTATCAGTTTGGTTAAATTACTATCTCTGTAGTTTTTACAAAAAATATTGCGCCTAGGTGGTGTTCAGCTTCATTAATACCTAGTAACTGTTCTAGTCAATAAACAAAAATATTGATGAATGTACTGACGTGTACTCGAATGAAAAATATTTGACTCTTCGTTTTTTGAATGTGTCCAACTTTGTATATATAGTTCATTTTATGATAATGATGTATAGTGGCTAGCAGTGGAGTTCATGATGTGCATTTCGTCCTATTTATGACTCATCAGTTAGATGTACTTGCTTCTTAGTGAGTGATATTATCCCCACTAAGACTCATACCCAGGACTGTTTGCTTTAAACGTCAGAGCGCTATGCACTAGGGTACTGAGTCATAATGGCTACTCGTTCATTACTATAAAACTGAAACTACAGGCAATATCGAGGCATCCTCACGGGAGTCAATAGGGACCTATCATTTCGGTTCAATCAACATAAAAACTATGCCCGTAGGATAAGGGGTGGATATTGCTGCTCAATGGCCTAGTAGATGATGCTCTGGCACTTGAAGCGATCAACCTTGGGTTCGAGTCTAAGTGGGAACAACACTCACTGGGGAGCAAATACGTCTGGCTGACAACTCCCAAATAGGACGAAATGTGCATGCCTGATTCTATTGCTAGCCATCAAAATTAACATGTAGTCAATATAGAGGCATTCGAAGAGGAGCCCATATACTAACACTGGAGACCTATCAATTCGATCCAATCAACGTTTGGAAATTACAAGCAATAATACAGTTTTAGTATAATTGCTTGTATTATACCGTCGTTGATTGGACCAAATCGATCGGTCTCTATTAGCATATGGGCTCCTGTGTAGATGCCTCGTTATTACCTGTGTTCTAATCATAGTAAAGATGAATAGTGGCTAACAGTGGAATCGAGGATGTGCATTTCGTCCTATTTGGGACAAGTCAGTTGGATGTACCTGCCTCCCGGTGGGAACAAGATCATTCACCACCATCCATCTTTAAAATAATATAGTTTTTTTTACATCTTACAGATCTGTATGTATGTGAATGTAATGCATCAAATTATATGTATTCGCTGTTGATGTTCATTTGTGTTGGAAAGAGTGTTGATGTACAGTTTGAGATACTACTTATCTCAATAGTATTCGATGAATTCTTGTTGATCGGTTTTTTCTCTTCACATTTACAATAGTTCATTTTTATATAACTTCTCGAAAAACATTCGTATTCCTTTTTCCTCTCTTTTATTTATTTCTACTACTTTTGACTGATTTTCCTCTATTTTTTTAATCTTTCATCTTCGTACTTCCTTAATAAGATAGACCGTTACACAGTAATGCCTTGTTCTATATTGATGGTGATAATGATCGAAAAAAAATTATATTACAGTTGAATTGAAGTGTATTCATCCACCTTGTGGAAATTCGGGCATAAAGCAATCACCAACATGTATTGTGTAAGAGCTATCGAAATCTCGCTAGGTGGAGCGGGACTCGAACCCGCAAACTCAAAAGTTGAAAATCATCTCTTTAAATCAATGGACTACAGCTCCATTTCAAATTAAATTTACTTTAAATATTGCGTTATTTATCGGATATGTTGTTATTCACAGAAATAAACTTTGTCAATTCGAGGCAAACAATCAATTAGAAACTGGAGTTTATTGCTATACTCAAATAATTCGATAGTAGTGATATCTGCATACGATGCTAGTGGGTTAAGCCCTCTTGTACTGTCTATTACTATTATTATCATTGTTCGTATACATTTATTATTTCTTTTCGATTTAGATCAATAAAGATGATTGGGGAGTTGTCAATATGCCAAAGATAGAATTATTTGCAATTGATAACGGTTTAGCCTTCCCTTTTAAACATCCAGATGAATGGAGAGCGTGTAAGTGAATATATATTTCCTTTTTTTTTTTCTATCTCACCATTTTGTGTAAACAATATTCAATGAATTATGATGATTTACTTGATTTTAGCTGGCATAAGAATCTAGGATGCGTTTTTCGTCCTATTTGGGACTCGTCAGCTGGTTGTACTTGCACGCCAGTGAGTGGTATAGTTCACACTAAGAAACGTCCTTATAGTAGCCCATATGACAGTAGAGGTCGAACAATTCGATCCAATACAACAGTGGAGAATTACAAGTATATCAATAAATAATAAATGGTCTAGGCATCATTATTATATATAGTACGTTGGGGTTTTTTTTAATTACTAGTCTGTGCCATGTTCATGCAACCAATATGGGTCAGTGTAAGAACATGTGAATACACATATATTATTATTATTTGTCGTTTGGATTCCTAATGGAATATAGAGCTTCAGTAGCACGTCTCCAATGCGCTCTATTCTCTGAAATCTTTTGAACCTGGCTCCACGACAGCCCACAAACGCTCATTTCTTCCTCGCATGATCTCCTCCATGTCACCCTCGCCACGGATGCCAAACTCGTTGCTTCCCATCTGGGTTCCATTCAGCGGACTGGACTGGCGCGTGATGTCCCCAGTCGGCCTTCTCAGTGTATGTCTAATCCCTCTCCACTTCCTTCCAATGCATATTTGTTGAGCGATAGGTTGTTGCTTCCTTGGTTCGTGGTCAGGCCAGAGTTCCTTGTTGCTTATTCTTTCTGGCCGTCTGATCTTCAGTATCGAGTGAGAGTAGGCACTAGTTGTTGATGAATGTCTGTAGTTTGTTGGAAATGCCTTTCGTAACGCGCCAAGTCTCTGAACCATGCTGAAACACTGACTTGACTGAATTGGTGTTGGAAATCCGGATCTTGTTCACTCTTTATACTGAGTACAGAAGATCTCCACATTGTTTTCAGGTTAATTAAGGCTTGTCTTGCTATCTTTCTGATCCTGGCATTAACTTCCTCGTCTATGCCGCCTGTAATTGAGACAGTGCTGCCTAGATAGGTGAAAGAGGCTACTTCCTTTAAGTTTTTCCCGTTGATGGTGATTGGAGTTTGTTGTTGTTGGTGGTGTTGGTTGGGTATCTTCATCACCTCCGTCTTCTCTATATTCACTGGAAGTCCCGTCTTCGCTGCCTCGTCTCACCTCTTCTGTCAACTTGCTGGATTTCGCCTGTAGATCTTCAAGTTTGTGCGACATCAGACACAAGTCATCGGCGAAATCTAAATCTTCTAGGATCTTTTTAGTCTGGTCCAGCGTATTCCCCCTTCTCTCTCTTCACTATTTGTTGCATGGTCCAGTCGACCACAATCAGGAATATCATGGGTGATAGTAGACAGCCTTGTTTTACTCCTGTCCCCTGTCTTCACTTCAAAGGCATCACTGAGCTTCCCATTGTGAATTACTTGGCTTGTGGCGTCTCCATATAGTTGTTGAATGAGATTGATAAATGTTTGTGGAATTCGGTAGTGTTGAAGCAACTGCTTGCCAAATTACTTGTCGGTGGACGCTGTCGAAGGCCTTCTCAAAGTCGATGAATTTGAGGTAGTTGAATTTGGTAGTTGACTGCCATTCTGTACTCTGTTCTATGATGACGCGGAGTTTTGCAATTTGGTCTACACATGATTTGTACTTCCTGAAGGTAGTCAGCCTGTTCCGGTCGTAGTTTTGAATCCATATATATGAATGCTTTTATTTGAATACTGTACATCTGCCTTTTTCCTACATATCGAAAAGTTTTCTCATTTTATCTTTTGTTCACTATGCCAATCTGAATAGATTTTCTTCAAAATTTTTGATAAGATGGAGTTTATTGTAAGGACCAGAAACAGTTATTCTTCAGATAAAATACAGTGGTCGTGCAATTTAACCCAGTATAGGGATGGGAGATTACAAGTATCAATAAACAACAATTGATACCCGTTGTACAAGTGGTGGCTATTGTAGCCTAATGGATAATGCTTTGGCGTTTGAAAAAAAGAGCACTGGGTTCGAGTTTCAGTGGGAACAACATCACTCACTGGAGCGCAGGTACATCCAGCTGATGAGTTGCAGATAGGATAAAACACGTGTCCTGGATTCCACTGTTAGTCACCAAGCAGACTATAACGTAATGACTAATCAGGAAACATCGAGACATCTGCCTAAGAGTTCGTCCGCTGACAGTGGTCGAGCAGTCTGATCTAGTATAGCAATGGGAGATTAAAAGTACCAATACACACTCAGTAAAATTCAATGTCAGACCTGTGTTTCTGAATCGAAGAGTATGTTGCTTTAAACTGATTTTTCAATAGAAACTGGTTTTATGTTTGTGGATGTATTGGGGTAACAGCAGTTAAAGACTATGCGCTACATAGTGTGAAATTGTTTGCATCTGTCACCCAACGTCTTATGAACCGCTATCTTTCTGTCTGCCTTCTCATCCTTCTTTATTTCAATCTCTTTCCCTTTCTGTTGATAAGAAATGTAACTCAGTGTATCAATTTAATGAAAACAATCTGAAGATGTAGTTGCTTAGCTTAGGCAATCTACCTTCAGCTAAACGAGTCGAAACTCACCCAGAAACCTTGTCCACACTCGTGTAGTAGGTGGTGAGTCATGTTTGAGGGTTAATCAAACTACATGGATCCTCTAAGCCTCAATAGGTAAAGAATCGTTCTAATTTATAATCCACAAGTCCAAATGCAACTGCCCAAACAAATGAGCTGCGCCTCCGCTACTTTCAATCCTTAATTTATGAGCCTGGAAACTGCTTAGTCTGTTGAGGTATGGACAGTCAGATACTATCGTTGATAATCAGTAAATATGTGTGGTTCATTACTTGGTGTATGCACAAACCTGCATGTTGTCGCTGAGTTACTTTTCCCTTATTACTTCAGTTGTTGTTTTCTGGCTTTTTTTTACTAGTTTTACTGGTGAACCATTGTGTGTATTTTAACTGACTTGGTTATGGTTAGCACTGGAATCCAGGACGTTCTTGTCGTCCTATTTCGGACCCGTCAGCCGGATGTACCTGCACGCCACTGAGTGGTTTCGTTCCCACCGCTACTCGAACACTAAAGCGGTATCCACTGAGCTATTGAAGCGATCGATACGAGGTTCGTGTCTCAGTGGGAACAACATAACTCACCGGGATGCAGGTACATCCAGCTGACGAGTTCCAGATAGGAAGAATTGCGTATCCTGGATTTCACTATTAACCACAACCAAGTCAACCATAACAATAAGCAGCAACATGGAGGCATCTGCACAGGAACCCATATACTAACAGAGATCGATCAAATTAATCCAGTAAAACAATTGTCAACAGATAATAATATTGATTTATGTTGGAATTCATCATGTACTGACATCAGTTGGAGGAACATAAGAGACCTGGGAAGACTGGAAAGTTGTTTTACCCTAGTGTGGGACTCCCCAGCAGTGCACACCCATGACCTTCAGGTTCCGTGACCAACACGTTAGCATTGAGCCACTGGGTTGGAATTCAGTGATGAATCAGAACCTAAAATGAATTAATAAACCTTCACAAACCTACAGATAGAATCAATATTGTGCATTGTTTCAATTCTTCTATTGTTGTGTTTTAGTTGGATATTTAAAAAAGGATGAATTATATTTGTTTATATAAACTGATTTCAAGGTTAATTTTGGCTGTGAATTTAAAAATTCTTATCAAGCAGATTATTCAAACTACTTTATAGATGATACATTGAAGATAATTGTACTATGTGTTCGTTCTGAAGTCATTACTGTTGTAAATCATACAAATTTTTATTCCAATTTTATCTATTTACCTTTTGTTTGATTTTATTTTGTTGCCTTTTGGTAACTTTCATTATATAGCCAAGATAAGCTGGAACTTGATGTTTATTTATTCTATTTGCATACCCATCTGAATTCATAATGTCAGTTTTTGTTTAGGGATTTTCGGAATTCTCTCCACATGGGTTAGTATTGCTCATATGAATTAGATCTCAGCGACTGACACTTTATATACCGCTGTGAATCACCGCTTATCTCTTCAGGAAATACTTCCGTTTTTCCTAATTATCTTGTTAACATTAAAGACAAGATTACTCAGACAGCTTGTAATTGGTGTAGCTCATAAATCAACAAATTCCCTCCAGACACTGTTATGCAGACCAAAGGATACAACAACCAAACAAGACAAACTGAAAGTCATTTACAAATCAACTGCGATAACTGTAGTCAAGACTACATTGGACAAAATGGTCACCCTCTTCGTCTTCGTCTACATGAACATCAATTGGCCATTAAATGTCATGACGCTTCATCACTCATTTCAATGCATGTGGATACTTATGGATATGAATTCAATTTCGACAATGTAGAAATTTTGGACAGATGAAACACAAAAAATATCAGACAATTCCTAGAGGCTTGGCATTCAGGTCAGTCAGCAATCAATAGATGTATAGACATAGACCCAATATGTCAACCAATAAGAAAGATGATAGACAACAGAAAGGTCAGAGGTGAAGCAGAGGAACAGCCAACAGGAAAGTCTATACAGTCGATGACACAACAATCAAAGGAAACAACCAATTACAGACCATTTCGTCAAGGCAAGCTACTAAATCACTCACGGAGAGATATTGACAGGTCACTTCATACTGAAGTTAGTGCTGATGATATCGTCTCTAGATAGACGATGGAAACTTTACAACTAAACAACCCAGCTCGGAGAACATAATACAACCAAGGCCGTCTATCTGCACTACAAATATTCTCCACCATTTAAACACTACTGTTTTCTCTGAAGAAATCATGTAGATGCATTTCAAGTTGTAGCAAAATTTAGGATTGTGAAACACAAACATTTTTATTAGCCTGTAGCAAAAACTTATGTCACCTGTGAGTAGATTGAATCTTTGTCACTAAGAATTTATTGATAGACTGATCTTGCTCTATTTCTTTCCACCATAACAAATTTGTTTTTCCGTTATAGTATTGGACTCAGCAGTACGCACCTATGACCCTTCCGGGGATCGAACCCAAGAACTTTAGGTTCCTTGGTCAGCAGGTTACTGTAAAGCCACGAAGTCAATTGTCGATTGTATTTTTTTCTTCATTGTTTACTACTTGTAAGCTAGTTTAATTTACACTACCTTTTTAACACTTTATTTATCAGATCCATTCTACTGGGCCTGGCTTCCTATGGCTAAGGAACCATTTTCAGATTCAATTAAAGAAGCTATTCTTCCATTATTGTCTGATATACACTTTATAAATGGTTTGGTGCATGATCTTCATAATCTATTCGAGGTAAGTTGTTACTTTTCATTCCAACCTTTATAGCACTCGAGTTTTTTACGCTCATTTGATAACTTCATAATTGATGTGTGATGATAAACTTTTGAGTGAGTTTAAACGCCACCTTATTTTGACTGAGAAGGAAGTTTTTCATAAATACAGAATTCCAATTAATTACTTAAGTCGTTGTCAGGGTGGACGTTAAAGGTACTCACATTATACAGTGACTCCAATGGAAACCCTAACAACTAATAAAACAGCCAATTTCTTAATGCTGTTTCACGAGGATACTATTTTGCTATCCAAAATAATGAAAACTGATTGGTTATTTAAGTTACTGCTAGGATGGCCTTTACAGTCATTCACGTCTAATTATTGGAAAAACCAACTGGCTTTTGAATACTCCATTTTATTTTCTTTGGCATACAAAATATGCTTCAAAGGCCAGCTTATCAACCTTGGAAATAACCAATCACGTTTCTTTATTGTTTGAAGAACTGCCTTCCTAGTCGAAATACCGAAACCTGATTGATTCTTTCACCAGTTGTTAGGGTGGCATTGAAGTCAACCTTTTTGACTGCTTAGTACACTTTAATAGTATTTGTCGAAGGCTTGCTATCATGTTTAATTAGATTACTGCAATTATTACTATGATTTTACTAGTTAGTTAAAAAATTAGCATCAGACCACATTTGTTACGATGGTCCTGGAATGAGTTGAACCTTGAGTCTGATAAAGTTCATTATAAGAGTGTATTTTAAAAATAATCGCAGCGTGTTTAAAAAAAAATCCAAACGAGATATTTCTGAATGTTTCGCTGTATAGGCCGAAGCTTCTTTAACGGACTGATTTTCTAAATGTGCTTGAATTATATCAGTAATGGGTAGTAGCTAGAAGTGGGATATACGATATGCGTTTCACCCTACTTGCAACTCATTAGCCGGATATGCCTTCCTCCCAGCGAGTAATTTTTTTCCCACTGAGACGATCGCTTCAAATGCCAAAGAGTTACTCACTAAACCACTGAGTCACGTTAGCCACTTCTTGTGCGATAGGTATAGTTTGTATGATTTTGCTTGTATTATCCTCTCATATACGCTGAGATTAGGTTTGAATATACTCTTATGATAGCATCTACATTTTTTTCTATGAAGAATGTTAACTGGGAGATAAATAATTCGCCAGTAAATTATCCTGGAAGAGTTCACCGAGTAGGGAAAGTTGTAACAAGACATTTAAATGAATAACATTATTACCAAGCAGATCTCTTCAGGCTATACCCTAATATATTAGGGTAGGATAGCTTTTCACAGATATACAAAATATAAACAACCAGTCAAGGTAAATATATGCTGTGTGATGATTGAGGGTAAAATGAAAATTTGGAGCGTAGCATTGCAGTGGATGCTACTGATAAGAATGGATATAAGTAGTATATGTTGAATGGTCGGTAGAAGACATTGGGAATTACGAGCGATGAGTAAATATTGTGCCCAGAGAAACGCAAGAGACAATTTAGGCGTATAAAGAGCAAATTGAGATAGAAGAATAAGAGGAAATGAAACACACTGTGCAAATGACTATTTTAATAGAAAGTGTACAATGTCTCATTAGTTCTGTACAATATATCATAATCAATATTCTGTCCTACTTCTCAGTCTTCATCGTTTTCTTACAGTACGGTTTGATCCAGTGATTACCGAATTTCTGACCTGGTGCTTTACCAACTGAGCTATAAAACTTAATTACTGATCAGATTTTTACTTTACTTCACTCATCATAAGATTTACACGAATGTTATGGGAATTCGTAATGCCTTCCTTGTTACTGAGGTAATTTATCATTTAACGATAGCAAGGATGTGATTGTGTTTAATTAAAGTAATAAAACTAGTTGTATTATAGGTGTTGATAAGAAAATTGAAAATAGCATGATAATATAAACAAGTATTGAGACAAAAGATAGTATGGTTGCTTAATACTAAAGAGAGAAGTCGATGGAACAATAAAGTTTGAATATTTCTGTAATAGTGATATGAATAGGATGCTAAAAATCAAATTTATAAACAAAGCCATTCATTATGTGTTCCATGGCCAATTCTTATTGAATATGTGTCAAAAACAAGTTGGAACTCTTTCAGAAAGCTTGGGTGGAGTATAGTAAATCACTCTAAAAGCCTTCTTTTTGTTCACTTTGTAACTGCTATTAACCAGATCTGACAGAAGATAGCTTCTTATAGACTTAACTTGTCATTTTACCAGCCATTAGGGTAAGTGTTCGGTATTGTATTCACTAAGTTGTTTAGTTGTACTATCTTCACATGTGCGACTACACTGGTAAATACACATGAAAGTGGTAAAGCCTTAGAACTTGTCCTTCTTTCGACCCGAAGCAATTCATCAGCAAGAAACTGGTAGGCAGAGATAGTCATCGGTGGTCTATAGAACATGATGTAACCATGTATATGTTCATTAAATCATGGCTTTATAAAATTAAAAATATTTATTTCCCGATATAAATTTAAACCGCACAACGAATGGGAAGAAGTAGGATACAATGGATTCATAAATCTCATTAGAACTCACCTTGATGCTCTACATACTTGATTGTATATATGCTATGAGGCAATAGAGGAAATCAGACACATACACACACACACAACGTGAACTAAGACATCGGTTGAGGCGTAGACAGCGTAAAAATGAAAAACGCTCACAACTGAAGTGGTAATACAAAAAGTTGAGGGTGGGTATTGAAACTCGAAAGGTTGAAGATAATTTACGTCATTCTGAATAGGCCAGATAATAATAATAATAATCATGACAATAATAATAACAATAATGAAATAAGAAGTTGGATAATGGTGCAGACTAAATAATCGTTTCGCTAAGGCAAGTACTTTAGAAGGAGAGAGAGATGAACTTCCATTCGTTTCTGTAAACCTAAAGCTGATCAGGTTACATGCTACTTTGTTTTCTTGAATCTACACTCATTCACTGTTTTTAGCATAGTCTTTATGTACAAAAAAGGCAATCAAGAAAGTAGCACTAGACATATATTTGCTCAATCTTTTCCATACCAGAAGATATTCCTACCAAGCTGTTAGAAAGTATTGGAGAAACTGGAATAAAAACTGATAAAAGACGAAATGAGGCGATGACTAAAAGTTGTGGTACATATTATCATGTTAATTAATGGTAACAATGTAATAAACGTCGGTTGTATCTGTATCACTGCGGCAATTTCGAGTCGTGTTAAACACTGCGCTTTATACAAACTATTCCAGATTCTATTTTGACCTTACCACTTTAAGTTCTTTTTCTTCATCCTTCAGTTGTTGTTGTATGAAAACGTTTAGATAGATAATGACTTAGCGTGTGCTATGCATCATCATCATCATCATCATCATCATCATCATCATCATCATCATCATCATCATCATCATCATCAATATCAACATAGGATCAGGCATTACTGCGTAACGGTCCGAGTTGTCACACTTCATACCAGTACATCAAGTAGAACGGTAGTGAGGTGAAAGATGAAGATAAGAGAATGCAGTCAAAAGAAATGTAAAATACTAAAAGTGAGAAAGGAAGAATGAGAAAATGATGAGATTTTGTATAGCGTCGTTAAGATGAGGATAGTGCGTGACTGACATCGATTCTGAGCCATATCCCCTAGAGTCTCCAACCACTGGTTCCTGTTGTCCCGCTGACCCCAACCGACTAGTCTGCATCGCCGAACATGGCTCAAACCAGCAGTCACAGACTTCATACAGCGGTGCCATGTTTTAGTCTGGCCACCTCGAGCCTTTTTCCAACCTGGGTATGCATACTTATGTTGATATAGACTCACAATTTTATCAGTAGATCAATCCCTTCCTCACTTTACTCATCTTCTTACTTACTCTCTAACGCTTAAAATCATTCATCAATCTACTGTGTTTCTTCACTATATTTTAATACTAAATGAATCTATGTATCATGTATTCTTTGATATTTTAACAAACAAGTAAATATGTAATCGATCATTTTCATAGCATTTCTGTATAATTGTATTTCATGTGATATTTAGTTGATATCAATGTGTATTTCTTATTTATATCCATGAAAAATTTGTACATTGTACAAATAATCGATTTATTATGAATATATTTGTAATGGTAGAGTTGTAGGGAGGTGACTTTTCAACCACTAGGTGATGAGTTCAAACTCCCAACCACCTAGTGAGTTTTAGACAACTCAGTAGTAGTAGTTAGTAGCAGTAGTATCATTAGTCTTCAATAAATATATATGACTTAGTGATTAGTGCTTTAATTTCGGGTAATATTTCGAGTGAAATTTACCACCCATAATCCTATCAACCGGTGGGATTATTTGTTCACAAATTTACAAACTGTTGGTAACTCTAAATGACAGAATCAACGTGGGATCTCTCACATAAGTGCATCGCTTTAACTCGTCACACTTCACAGTAGTAATCAAAGAACAAGTGAATACAAATAGAGCAATATCAAAGTAGATCAAGGAGTGTGAGACAATAAACAATTTGAAGATAAAGGTCAATGTGATTATTCAATCATTAAAAGATGTCAAGGAGTGAAAACATTTGCACCATTGTGACTGACTTTCAGCCATGTCACCAAGTGTCCTCAACCACTAATTATCTTCATCTCGGCCATTCCAACCATCTAATCCACATCACTCCACACACACACACACACATATCAGGTCGACAGTAGGAGATCTCACTGTGTGTTACCACATCTTGGTTCAGCATGAGCAGTACATCTCCAAGACATCTCAGTCAACAAAAATTTACAACTTCATCAATCAACTTTCCGATTCTCTCTAACACCCTGCGCCTCACTTCAACATACCTCACACAGTCATCCCACCAAATGCCAACAATGCTATGAAGACACCTATGATCAAAACCCTATCACCATTTCATGTCTTCTACTTTTAACGTCGACGTCTTACAGCCGTACAACAGGATAGAATGAACTG